CTTCATCCCGGGGATCCCAGCTCCTCTCCCTCCTTTCACAGTAAGAGGGGTCCCCGGACGCCCGCGAGCGGCCACGGGGGCCAGCGAAGCCCCTGGCGAGGACGGGAGCGTGAGGCCAGCCTGCTCCATCCCGGGAAAAACCCTCCTCCGGAACGGAGGTTGGGAAGACAGGCACAAAGACGAGTGTCCCTGCGGGAGGGTGGAAGGGAGAGGACGGAGCCTTCCTCCCCCTGCTCCCTCTCACGAGGAATCGCGGTCCATGCTGCAGCCCAGGGCCTCGATGTCGTTGCTGATGTGCGAGATCATGCGGTCCCACTCGTCCTCCTCCGAGGGCACGGACTGCTCGTCCGAGCTGCCGGCGGCGCCGTTGCCGTTGGTCGTGGAGTTGGAGGTCGTGCTCAGCGTCCGCCTGTACCTCCCAAAACTGTCTGTGATGATGCCCCGGCCGTCCTTGACGCCGATGGTCTCCAGGAAGTTCTCGAAGTGCTGGCTGTCCTTCTCGGGGATGAAGGGTCGCAGGCCTGGGCCAGGAGAGAGGACACGAGGAGAACGTGAGCACGGGGGTAACACCCGCTCTGCCGGTGCTGTAACGGGGACTTGCTGGGTTGTGGTGACTCTGGGGGGTGTTTCTGCTCTGAACCACTTCATCGTGGGCAGGAGGCCACCAGCAGCCTCGGTGTCAGCCCCCTCTGCATCCCCAGAGGGGAAGGAGGTGGCTGGGGGTGACTTTCCACAGTGGTGCCGCAGCCCAACCTTGCCCAGGGCCCGGATGGCCCCGTAGGGCTTTTGGGGACTTCATTGTGTGGCCTCATGTCACATTCGTGCCCCTGAGAAAGGCAGCCAAGCAGCTGAGGTGGGATCTCCAGGGCTCGCCTGCTGCTCCTCCCTCAATCCTATTGCTCAGCTCTGATCCTGTTAGGGTAACAGCATCAGCCTGTGATTAAACTCCCCCAGGGCAACGGGCAGGGGGTTTGAGAGAACATCTGGCCCCTCTTCCCACCCCGGCATCTCACTCCAAGCCCCCGTGCTGCTGGCGCAGCCCTGAGGGCAGCAGGAACAGCTGGAAGCTGCCCTGAATCAAGGGGACCGGCAAGGTCAGCAGGATCAGCACCATGGAAGCAACTTCCAGCTTAAGAGAGCTAAGCCAAGCTGGAGGAAACAGCACCCAGCCCAGAGGATGCTTCCAGCAGCCGTGGGCTCGGCAGGCCGGCGGGTGACTTCTTGTTGCCTCTTTAACCTCTCTTAGAGGGGTTCAACCTGTTTTTCTTTGCAATTAGATGCAGGGCTGCAGGCAGCCCCCAGCTTTTCCTCCCGTGCTGAGGGACAGTGGGGAGGTGGCACCACAGATGCCCTTGGCCAAGCGTCTCGGCTCCCTCTGCATTTGAGTTGCCTTAAGAGCAGGGGACTTGAGCTAGAGGGACTAAACTGCTCTTTGGAAGAGGGTGACTCCAAGGAGCCAGGAATTAAGGTCTTACCCCTTCCTTGGCTACATCTCAAGCCTAGGACACTGAGCAAGGGTAGCTGTCTTGATGAGATCAGTCAGATGTCACTTAGTGAGATCTTAAATCCCAACCAGGGCTTGGGAACAGCCTGAGGCTGCTCCCGCCCTCTGGTTTGTTATCCGTGAGGAATCCCTGGCACCAGGAACTCACCTAAGAGCAGGAACTTCCTGCTGTCCCCATAGAGCTGCTTCAGGTTGATGCAGAACTCGTGGATCGAGGCCCCGTTGCGATACTCGTGCAAGAGCATTGCAAACTGCTGGATCTCTTGGGAAGAGAGTTTCGTTCGGAGCTGAGGAAGAGAAGAGCAGCACAAGTATCACTGACTTTTAGGAGTGGGTTTTCAGCCCTGAAAGTGGCAGGGGGAAGAGACGAGGGGAAACAGGTACAAGGCAGCTTAGTTTATTGCTATTTGACAAGGGTCAAGTGCAGCAGCTGCAGTAATTAACCAGCAGGATGGGCTGGTGGGACCCTCGACTGAGCTGGCAGCTTTCAAACAGGGCCTCTGCCTGTACTCCCAGCTCGTCCCCACCTCCCAAAGTGACAGATCCCAAACAGGGTCTGTGCTGGGACGGGCCCTAACGCAGCGAGAGGGGATAACAGGGTGAGGGTGGCTATGCAGGTTCAGATCCCAGGGTGGCTCCGAGCAGAAGTGGTCAAGAAAGGCTGAGATGCTACTGTTGTGTCACCTTATGCAAGTGGAGATGACAAACCCAGGTCGGCAGGACCCTTTGGAGATCATTTAGTCCAATCCCCCCGCACAAGCAGGGTCACCTAGAGCATGTGGCACAGGATTGTGTCCAAGTGGGACATCCAAGTCTCCCTGTGTGCCAGCACGGAGTGCAGCCTCTGCCTCCATGAGGGAACAGGGATGTTCCTTCTCAACCTCTCTCCTTAGGTTTTCCGCAGGAACTTAAGGAAAACTTTCTTGACAGTGAGGGTTCCAGAGCACTGGAACAGGCTGCCCACAGAGGTTGTGGAGTCTCCTTCTCTGAAGATCTTCCCAACCTGCTTGGAGCAGCCCCGTGCCACGTGCTCTAGGTCACCCTGCGTGTGCAGGGAGTTGGACTAGATGGCCTCGAGAGGTCCCTTCCAGCTTTAACCATTCTGTGATTCTATGAACCATCTCAGAAAAGATCCCTGTGTCCTGCCCTGAGCCGAGGTGCTGCCTCGAGGCCACCCTACCGTCATCATGTAGTCCTGGAGCAGCTCCGTGGCCGTGGTGCTGAGCTCGCTCTCGCTGATGGTTTTAACGTGCGGAGACTGTTGCGTGGAGAAAGATGAGGGGGAGCTGTCATCTACGTCCAGGCCTTCTGGAAAGGAGCTGAAAGGTAAAGGGAGGGTGAGATGAGATGGTCTCCTCCAGCAGCACCGTTGCTACTGCTGCCACTATGGTCTGGCTACTGAAAACACTGCCCTTGACTGCAGCTTTACACAGAGCAAGGATTGAAACACAATCGGGGAGCTTTGCCCCTTCCTTAGTTCTCTGACTTGCTGGAAGTGAAGCTCTATGTGGAAAAAGATTCCCTCAAATTGCTTCCTCTGAAATTCTGTGTGTGTGTGTGTGTGTGTACGATGGGGAGGGATATTTCAAAATACTTTTACATTTGAAATGCTCAAGGACTTCAAGGGTCAGGTTTTTCAGTCCACAACTGTTTGGCATTTTTGCATTCACTCTGCTTCAGGAAAAAGATGTTTCCAGAGTAATGAGGTTTGGGAAAGAGGGTGAAATCAGTTCTCCAAACCCACCCCCCATTCCCCCATGGCAGACCAAATTTGTGCACGTTCCAACCCTGCTCCTGATGATGTGTGGAGCTGAACACAATATATATGAATATATAGGTGTATATATGGAAAACTGTGCCAACAGAACAATGCAGCAAAGGCTGCTGAGGAAGCAGGGCCTATAGTACCCGTGTACAGGCACAAATAATGCTGTCAAATGCTTTGGGTGAGCTCATCAGAAGCTTTTCAATGTGCAGACCGCAGCAGTTCCTGCTCTAAAGCTGGCAGGGAGGCTGCATGGACAAGGTGTCACCCCCACCGTGCCAAGCTCTCACATTATCCAGCGTTGGCTCTCAACTTACAAGCCACTCTCCTCCGCTTCGTAAGGTTCCTTAACGTCCACTTTTGTAGAGGAGTCATCTGCAAGGAAGATGTTGAAGACACAGGGGTTGAGGGGCAGAAAGGCAGCGCTTTTCCCAGCCCGTGAGCCCCATGCGTGTGGATTCCTGACTCAGCATTCATGTCTGGAACAAAACAAGGGACTGCGGGATGGGCTGAGCCGGCGGTGGAAGAGGGAGCAACGCTGTGTCAGGGCTGGGGACGGAGAGACGCGGATCCACGCAGGATAAAGCTCCCCTTTGTAACTGCTCCCTTCCACGGGATGAATAGAGCAAGGCAAAGGCTCTGGAGCAAAAACACTGCCCTGCCACAGCTCGTGGCTCCAGGCTCACCACAGCCCTGCTGGGAAGCAGCTGGGAAAAGGGGCCTTTTCCCAAAGCTCTGCACGGCCTCGGGCTCTCCTGCCCCTCACTGGGGCAGGGCTCATGGAAAGGAAGGTCCTGTGCGGGGCCGGAGCTGACGGCACTGGAGGTGCAACACAGCCCATAGCGAATACGGAGCTGAGGAGGGGAAGCTGAAGGTCCATCCTGCCTGGATTCCCTTTCGGAGCGTGGCAGGAAGAGAGGCACCCGGTGCAGGTGGGACAGGAGAGGCCCAGGGAAGGGGCAGGGGAAGGGAAGGAGCGCGGACTCACCGCTGTGCAGGGACAGGTGCCGCGTCGGCGTGGACGCCCCGTCGAATATGGCCCGGTCTAAGAAGTCTATGGTGGACTCGGTGTAAACGATCTGGAAGACTTGGCTGAGAAGCGAGCAGAGCTCCTCTGCTGTCACCTGCGGGGACAGGAGATGAACGTGCAGGACGTCCTGGTGGACGACAAGGTGACCATGAGGCAGCAATGTGCCGTCGTGGCCAAGAAGGCCAGTGGGATCCTGGGGTGCATTAAGAAGAGC